CAACTCTAATTCCACTGCTAACTCTACTCATAAACGTTTTAAGTTACCTACTCCCCTTTTCAGTAAGAAGTTATCAAATCTGTTGGATTTTTCCCAGTTGCTTGATCAAAGGAATAAATATCCACTGATCCAAGTTCTCTTAAAATCGTTATTTGTCTAATGTTTTCAATCTACAAAGGTGATCACATTCTGTGGTTTCTAGTTTGTAAATCTGACCTGTGTTAGTAACCTGAAGATTTTGTCTTTCCAATGCAGCATAAACTTCTAGTATGGGCTATCTATTGGCTATATCGAACAGTTTACCAAGTTTACCATCCATGATTTAATAACCAACAGTTTGTTGACATTAGCTTATCTTTCCATTTGATTTTCCCTGTTTATCTGTTCAATGTAAATGTTTTCCCTTTGGCCAAAATTGAATAAAATGTACACAGTTGTATTCAATTAATGTGGTAGCTTAATTTATAACTGTTATTTGAGTTGCTTTATCTAAGAGTAAATTGTCATGATAACATTATTCTTGGTATCTCCAACAATAATCTCAAGGCGATTCATTCAGTTTCAACTTATTTTCTTCTTAAAGTTAATTTAATACTGATGGACAACAACTATGAGTAGCTTACCTTCACATCATACTGTAAATAATGTTTCATCAATTAATTATGACATATATATACTTGATGACTTACTTACTTGCTTACTTACTTACGCCTTCTACTTCCAATGGAGCATAAGCCAACGACCAGCATTCTTCAGTATACTCTATCATGAGCCTTCCTTTCCTGTTCTGCCTGTCTCAATTTTTCGGAGTAATGCGTTATTTGATCTTCCTCTTTTCCTTTGGCCATGACGATTCCAAGTAAGGGCTTGTCTTGTAAAACAGTTGGGTGCATTCCTCAATGTGTATCCTATCCATATGACATGTATATGAGTTTATACGAGTACCGACATCTACATGATATTTGGAAAAGATTGGTGGACTATTGTCTGATACATTTAGTTTGAGGTGATTATACTGTTTAATTGAAAGGAGCATTGATCACAAAAAGTTTAAGTGAATAGTTAGATATTTTTTCTCAAATCGATTTACATTTATCACTTTCATCATTCAATTGTTATACTTTCTTAAAAACTTTTTTTTCTCCCTGAAAATTACTAAATGACTGATAAAAATAATATATATTCCTTTTTAATATTATGCAGTAATTCATTCTCAGTTGAGATGTTTATTTATTGACAATGAGTCATCTTTGGATCGTCATAGTGGATGAATCAGTTCGATTGGTATTGATCAACACAAATCAACCTTTACATTTTCTAATAACCTTGAAAATACAACAACTATAGTGTAGTTTCATTTTGTTTATTATAATATTATTTCAGGCTTTAAAAGATCCAATTTGGAATCAATATTTCAAAATGATCACTATCAAAGCATTTGGTGATGAAATTGCTCTATCACATTATGCATTTAGTTTTATCATCTATTATGCAACTGGTTGTAATTTTCGTCAACGTGTACATCAATTATTTCATAGCTTATTTTATAAATTAGGCTGTCGTTGTGATGCTTTCATGAAACTTGGTGTCAATGATGAAAGTGAAAATAATATGCCACCATCCATTGCTCGTCGTTCACATAATCGTTTATTATTAACTAATAGTGATCGACAAGACGATGCACAAGATGTTACACTTCGTACATCGTATTCACATCATCATCATCATCATCATCCGCAGCAGCAGCATCATCATCGTCAGTCACAAAAATTTTGTGACAATAAAAAATCACTAACAGACATTGATTCATCGTTAGAATCAACTAAGGAGAATTTATTTAAATCGCCTAGTGTACGTCAGCAAAGGCATTTCAATGAAACCAACACTAAGTCACCATCAATCTCTACAAAAGAGATAAATGACAGCTGAAATTTCTTATTACTAAATTACTTCAGATAATATATATCAAATGCATATTATTATTTTCTAATGTACATGCAAAACAACTAATAAAACTTTGACGAGCAATAAAGGAAATGTCGACTACAACAAAACAATACCATTGAACGTTGAAATTTGAACGACAAAAAAGTTAATACCTTATTCTCACTACATACATTAATAATGTATTCCAATTGTCTCTATATTATAACAAATAAATATCAAGTAAGAAATATTACAGAAATTTAATTTCTATTCAATTCAAATTATTCCACTTATTTTCCTTTTCATACTTTCCTCGATTTTCATTCTTTTTGTTTTGATATAAGATTAAAAAATTATTTTGAATTTTTTTGGGTAATTCTTAATGTCTGCTTTGATTTTCATAGACTTGTAATTCAGATATATATATATATATATATATATATATATATATATATATATATATATATATATATATGCACGCATAAATACATATATACTTGATCAAGCTGAGATTTAAAAAACGATGATCTATTGACTATTGAACATTTATTTCCTCTATTTCGGGTGCATTTATTAAAAGTGCATTATTTGTTTATACTAATGCATTCAAATTAATTTCAAAGCTTATTTGTATATACAAATATATATACATATATATACAAGAATTTTTGTAGTATAATACTCATATATGATGAATACTTATCACACATTATTTGCAAACATGAATTTGATAAGACATTGTCATTCAATAATATATTTCTTTGATTTTAAAATTCAGACTTATTCGTTAATTGAATTAGGCTTTTTCTGTTCATGTTTGTTTTAATGCTAGTTAACATATTGACCTTAATATATCAGGTATATATATATATATATATATATATATATATATATATATATATATATATATATAAATCAATAGGTTAAAACATGAGGATTAATTAAAACAAATTATGTGCAAGATTTTTAAAAAAGAACATTACATATATATTGAATCATATAACGATTAGACAATTTGAATGAAAAAGTCTATCACTTTTCATTGAAATATAGGAAACGAATGAAAGAGAGCTATTCAGAAAGATTAGATGAAAAATAGAAATATTTCTTATTAAAAGTAAGTTTTTCATCAAGATTTTATGCGAATACATATTTAATATCGAGTTATGGGGATTGGTGTGTTTTTGGTTGAATTCAGTGGAAATTATCGCTGTTGGATGTAGGCAGTTACGTACCGAAGACAATGAGTGAGGTAGCGCAATACCTTGAATAGATCAAAGTTAGACACTAACACTAACACACGTGCGAGCACGAAGGTCCTAGGTTCAATTCCTGCCGGCGGGTATCGTGGATACGCACCAGTGAAGACTCCCATACTAAGAGAAGGGTGGCAGCGCAGGTCTCGAATGGTGGTCTAACGATCGTCAATTTATGATTTATACTAATACATATATTTTACAAATGAGTTAAAATAATCAATGTTACTTAAACGGTGGAAGGATAATTGAAAATAACGTTTGTATGATTAAAATTAAAACTTCCATAATCCGTTCATTAATACAAATAGTTACGTAACAGCAGGAATAAGAAATGAATTTGAATGCAAATGTAAATGTTTGGTAATCTATGAAATAATAAAAAATGATAAGATTATTATTCAGGCTACGTAAGATAAGAATTAAAGATTAAAATGCCAATAAAATCGCACTTTAGTAAAGTTCAAAGGAAAGGGAAGAAAAGTTTTGAAGCAATATAATCATAAAACGCTAGGAGTAGTTAAAAGAGATAGTACAAACATATTTTGTGTAAAAAGATTCGGTTCGTTGATATCTAATATTCCTCTGTCTTCAGCTATATGTAAAACCTGAATTCTAAAACTAGGTTACGGTAAATTCACGGGGATTTGATAAATAGATTTAAATGCTGAAGTTTTATCTATGTGATAACCAGTGTCGGCTTGATGTAACAAGATAAAGCTCCTTATTACTTTTCTTTGTCCTTTGGTCAACAGTGGGGGGTGATTTTCCGAAATACGATTATGTATTTGTCTAGTTTTACTCCTATAATAACTAGCTCCTCAGGAGCAATTGAAATAGTAGATGGAGGCAGAGAAACTAGGTAATCTACTTTTATTTCGTGAATTCACTATTGATTAGAATGTAGAATACAATCTCACCTCATTGATTATACGTTCTGAGTGTTTTGTATTCCCAAAGTTACTGGTTCAAAGGCTACACCACGTTTGAACTGTGATTTCAAAAATACATGGCTTTTTCAGTACTGTTGATGACTTGACTTCGAGTTTAGTTCCAGACGTACATTTCACTAAGAGCTCTGGTAGAAATTCGTGTATGTTTAGTAAATCATGAAAAAGTTTCAGTTCCTCATCAAAATTACCACCAGAACGAATAATTTTGCCTTTGAAGGTAAAGCATTTGATATAGTTTCTCTTAAATTTTAGTGGAACAAAGCTTGAAAAAAAGTATGTATTAACTCTGAGTGGTCAGTTTACGATAAATACGTCTTCTTATTGACTCGCCAGTTCATCTTGTCACTAGGATATCTAGAAACGGGATACTAGCTCACTTCTTTTCTTCCATCGTTTAGACGACTGCTTGTTGGACTCGACTGAATTTTCTTAGTTGGATCTGAGGTTCTCACTTGTTTTTTATAACGATGAATATGTTATCCATGTGGTGACAATAAAATACTTGTTTATCACATGAAGTATTTTTCTAGACAGATTTTAAATGCCCTACAAAACTGTAATCCAAATCCTTTTTGACAAATTATACTTTCGATAGATGTCTTTTATTATAAAAATTGTTTATTCATACTTGTAAAGTACAAGCGGCACCTGAATTAGCCATGTTTTGTATTTGTAAAGTATTTTTCGTTATGTTCGTCACTAGGTATGCTTGAAGCTATTACAAGTTCACCTTAGTCGATAAACGAGAACAAGACAATTACCAGAGTTCAGGTAGGCTACCTTGAATACCAAACTGCAAAACAGAAGACTTGGGAGGCGTAGAAAGTATATTCTACAACACTCAGCAATCACAATACAATCAAGCACACAACTCTCGTCTATTTATACATCATAGAAATGTCCTTGGGACAGTTACAAAAATAGCACACTAAAATACACAGCAGCTAATCACAGCCATGGATTTTCCTGGTGGGAAACGAAATCTCAAGTTTAGCTGATCAGCCCATGTTGGCAAACTTGAAATCCAAAATAAGGCATTTATCAGGGGAGTTCTGGGGATCTAACATCCTTAACAGTTTTTAATGAATCAGCTTAAACATGGTCATACGAATCTGTTTTAAACAGTTAGCCTTAAAAGTACAGAATGTAATTGTTTGATGAATATAGAAGGATGAATGATTAAACAATGTACAAATATTATTTCATTTATGGAGGAAATATTCAACAATTCTTTTCTCATCTGAGTTGCATCGTTCGATTTCGTGAAATTTCAGCTTTGTTGAAATATGTTACAAAATAATAGTTAATGCTTTAAAGTGACATGATTTAGCATCAATAGCAAGATGTTGTAGGTTAATGAAACGCATTTTCAACACTTGCTTGAATAATTTGATCATTGAAAAAATATTTTCGATTCATACCTTGTCATTTTATCTGCTCATAGAAATCTTTTTGCTGTGTAGAACACACTTGAAAAATGTTAATCAAACATTATTTAGCGCAAATTTTTGGACAGGAACAACTCCTTTGGTTAAAATATCAATAAAGTGTTCATGAAATTATTCTCTAAATATTTTGATGAGTTAAATTTTCTGGCGACAATTTAAAGCCGATAAATTTTCCATTTTCTGGTTAACAAGTAGTGAATGTCATTTTCAAGATATTCAAACAGAACTATGGAGCATCTGAAGTTTGAAAAGAGTTGGAGGTCGGATAAACTGATGCATTTAAAGTACATTTCCGGTTTGAACAGTAAAATAAGTTATTTTCAAATAGAGTTATGGAGATTAGTGTTTTTACACATTCGAAATCATCAATCAGTCATTGTTATACCAACACTGGAAACCTGGAAGCACTGGACAACCGTTTCTTTCTGGTCTGGGACTAATCAGCAGTGCGCATCCACGACTCCTGCACCTCTCAGGATTTGAACCCGGGGACCTCGGTCTTGTGCGCAAACCCCTAACCTCAGTGGGACTGAGCCGGCATCCAACGGTGCTAATGTCTAACTCTGATTGATGATTTCAATTGTGTAAAATAAGTTATCGCAGTTATACAGTAACGGTAATCCCGTCATTGTACAGATAATGTATCCAATATCATTTTCATCTACACAACACACTAATACCAGTCAACTACACCTGGTAGAAGTAAGACAAAACAGACAGCATAGATTATCCATTGCAAATAAGTACTAAGTTGTTTTTAGAAAGTTTTTTGAATGGTATAGATATTATTAAAATTAGTTAGATTTTTCCTATTGACTGGATAAGTTTAAAATATCCGCATTAAGAAAAGCGAAACATCACTTCACGAGTGAAATGCGATAGTTTTACAGTTGTAAGGCAATATCAGGGTAGAATTAAACATTGATGCAATCCAATGACTGATGGTAGTGATTTTATTTCACAGACAGATTGTGTGACAAATTAGTCTAGAATATATTGAAAATTTACTATTGAATGAATGGATACTGAATGTAAATGTTTCTGGATGTAAGACGTCATCATTGGATGCGACTTATTATCAACTTAGTGTTGTTTTAAAAATAGCGTTTATCAGTCAACCACTGAATATATGACACGAATTATTATTATTACGATTAGATTAGACAGTAGACTTGAAATGTTAATGACAATGTTCATCTTTAATGAAACGATGGACATCCATATTGTTAATGAACTTATATTCGACTTCGTAATTTTTATCATAAAACTGAACGGTAAAGGCCAATCCATTTTGTAATCATGATTTTCAACCACAACGGATTGTCAGCAACTGATATGAATCGAACGAATAAAATCGATTGAAGTTATTGTTCCTATAGGTTTGTTCATGTAATCTTGAAAATAATGAATATCATATATATATATATATATATATATATATATATATATATATATATATATATATATATATATATATATATATTGATCAGAGTTAGATATTAACACCGTTACATGCCGGCCCAGTAGTCCAGTAGTTGGGCGTTCGTATGCAAGATTGAATGTGCATGAGTCGTGGATGCGCATTGCTGATGAGTCCCATACCAGGAGTAATTGGCCGTCCAGTACTTCCAGGTTTCTAATTATGGTCTAACTTTGATTGACTGATGATTTCAATGTGCGATAATACAATAGAACTGTGTTTTATTGAAGATAGTGAAAAATGTTTCTAGGTTTCAGTGAACTTTACTAGTATTGCGTAAAATATAATTTGGTAAAA